ATATAGATTATTGCTATTTTGAAATAAGTTCTTAAACTTATTTTTCTTAAAACATTGAACAGTAACTAAAGAAGTATAGCAAACAATTATCTGTTCTAGTTACAACCTTTGTACTCGGTTGCTACTTGACATAGGTTGCTAAGCTTTTAAAAAATTTGGACATGGAGGATATGAAACAAAATAATTTTTTAGGTTTTGTATATACATTTGAATAACTAAAAAAATCAAATTACCACATTAATATCATAGAATTCCTCTATAATTTATCAAGCTTAGTAACTAAGATGTATTTTAGTCTAAAAAAATATGAAATTTCGAGCAGACTAAAGACACATCCTACCTCGTTGAAATATTGGTTCAAAAGAAAGAAATGGCAACAAGTACATTAAAATTGCTGAGAAATCCACTAGGGGGACATTTTGAGCTTCTGATTAGTTATTCATGTCATATATAGAAGCAAGTGTATACAAGGGAGCGTTTTCCTTCCCTCCAATAGTTCGTCATCTGCAGAAGCCAAGGGCTGAAATTTGTTGGTCAACAGAATAGGCTCATTACAATTAAATTCACTAATTTTTACTCTAATAGCACTCTTTCTAACTTTGTGAAAGCCATTATATAAAAATAAATATAAATTTATATTGCGTATAAAAGCTTAAGCTCCTCCTGAAATTATGCTGCCATTTCCCACAGGCTACACTTCTCTTTACCTATTGCCTCTATTTTAATTATGATTGCCTCCAACTAGTCTTAACCATTGTACTTGTACTTATAGCCTGAAAATACTCAATACCAAATACCAGTAGCCTATTATAACACTGTTACTGTTAAGTCTAACATTTAACAACCGATTATATTATTTTTTATCACTAATTTGTCTTCACACTAAAGTAATAAAGTTTATCTAATTATACAGAACTTAATTTATTGGAACAATATACATAATGTTAATAATATAATGTATTTAGCCTGATTTATATTATAACCTACCTATATCTATAAGCTGAATTTAAACAAATGGATCTAAGTTCAAGTAAACAGATTAATTCTCAAAACACCAAGAGACAATAAACTAGTTTTTAGATTGCATTTATTTAATAAAACAATGTATTTATCCTGTTTTATGATTTACCAGTAAGTTGAAGTATACCTAAGCCAAAGTAGTTACACTTACTAAGCCTATTTTAACGTTGTAATAATTTACACCACTAAACTCAAACTTAAAACATTGACTGTCTTACTTTTAATTACTAATCATACTATATCTAGTTATTATTGTGTTATTTAACCCAAATTACAATAATAATAATATTAAATAACTTTTAGAAATCTATAAGAGCTTAACTTTTCAACATCCTCCCTCTTC